TTTTTTTTTTTTTTTTTTTTTTTTTTTTTTTTAAATACTTATTTTTATAGATAATCGACCCGTAAACGGGAATTACAATGACAAATTACAAGTTCGATTCAACCAAAATGTCCTAATTCAGACATAGCAAAACTAGCTTCGCTCGCCCACTAAACCGACGCCTTCCGCTAGACTGATCCGAAATCCTTAGAATATCAACCACCGTTCTCAACCGTTTATGAAACCACTCGAATGTGGGGTTTACCTCGTTGCCTCGGATGTCGGTCTTCTCATGACATCACCGGAGTAGCTGGTGATTGATGATCTTTTCTAACTCGTAATAGTCATTGACAATTAAGCTCTTAGAACAGACGGTAAATGAGGGAATAGAGAGCAAACCAAAAGGAGAGTCACCGAGACCTCAATAAACCGCCGACGCAATGACCAAGGAAATGAACCGCCACGAGCCGAGACTGCATAGACGACGCACGACCACCACGAACAAGGACGGGCTGTAATGGAGTCAAAACAAGCCAACAAAACTCTTCAGAACCTGCAAACAAAGAAAGAGATGGGTCTGCTAGTGAGACCAAAAAGCATCCTTAGCCCTGGGATAACCCATCTCCACCCAAGCCTCCACGCCATCTGAAAACCAGATTGACCAAACCGAGCACTCTAGATGACGACCTGAGTCGAATCAGAGAACCTAATCCGAATCTTCCTTGCGCTTCATTGAACCCACCCATCGCTGGAGACACGAGAGAAGACCATAAAGCGGAGCTGAAGAACCAAACCACTCGCGACTGGTTTGGAGGAAATGAAGCTGAAAACGTGACACTGGAACAGCAGAGAGAGAGCAACGAGAATGACGACTGAAGTCCCCTGCCATAGACGACAGAGCTTCAAACCGGTACTCCAGTTGCAGACGCCAAACCACAGACATACAGAGGACACACGACCACGCCATCCCTGTGAACGAACCGACGAATGAACAGCCGCCTCACTCGAGCTTAAGCAAACCCACCACCGTCGCAAGACACCGAGCGCCGGTAAGAAAGGAGGCTTTACACCCCACTCCACATCGAGAAAGGAACTCCTCGAGATACATCACCACAACTGAAACAGAGGAGAGAACTGCCCAGAACCCATCACGTGCCTCCATTACTGATGAAAACTTTGGGATCTAAACGAGAAAATGGATCCATCGGAAACATCGCCCTAAAAGCCGACTCCGGTTGAAACCCACGCTCACCGCCTCGTTGAAACTCCAGAAGGACAACTCCAATCGCGGATCTAGACGTCTCCGGAGCCGATCTAGAGAAACCCACGACGGAACGTCTTCCACAGTACCATACATCTCGACGGCAAAGACGAAGGGAGGCAAACCGGAGCAAAAACGAAAGAGGAAGAGGAGAGGAGCTAGCCTCCGGCCACCACGCGCGCCACCGCCGGTTGCCGGAGCAGAAACGTCGACAATAGGAAAGTGCTAACTGATGAGAGAAGAGGGAGCGTTTCGGAGGAGAGAGATTTTCTTTTGGATAAACACATAAAGAAACAACTCTGTGTTTAAAGAATTAGTGATCTCTGGTCTCGCTTTCATGAACCATCTCTTCAGCATCATCAAACCTCTCATCACTGATCTGGAGCTGCAGTGAACACAAGCGTCACTAACATAAACAACCAAGCGAATAAAATCAGGAAAATCAATTTTTTTTATTTTAATATATATTACCTCGAGCATAGGCTGAGCAATACTTTCGTCTCCATTAGAATGACCAATTACACTCGTCGGGCTCTGAGATATTGGCCATTCTCCATCTTCTTCCCCTGTACAACCACACAGAGAACAAATATGAAATTTCATCATACTACAACTCAAGAAAAACATTAAGCTATTGAGTTTGGTCTCAAACATTACCTCCTCCACCAATAACCATCTGATCAGCACTAAACACCCAGTTATGTCCGTTATCTTCTTCTTCTTCTGAAAAAACATACAATAAAACGAACATGTAAATGGTTAGTGAAGCAAAAACTGAATTAAACGATAGTAGCAAGATTGTATCACCTTCAACTGGTTCTGGATTGGGCTCAGCACATTCACAGAATACATCAAACAGAGTATTCACTGTCAAAGAGACAAAACAAAAAGGTAAATGTCTGCTTATTATCACCAAATGAAACATTGACCTATAGGCCCCCAAATTTTTGAAAGTAATTACCTAAGGCATACTCCCCAAAATTTGTTTAAAAATCTTCTTTTTTATTACAATTTTCACTAAATCGCATACAACCATCAAAATCTCCGGACAGGTCCTAACCGATTCAAAGTAGCTCTTACGAATGGCACATATAAACTCACATTGGGTAGAGTCTGAAGGAACAAGCCTCATCTCTCTGATCTTCGACAAGTCCAAAACTCCGGTTGATTCTGTAACATCCTCATCTTCTTCATCTTCTACAACTTCAATCTTCAAAAAATAAAACAGAACCACAAACTTAGACAAAGACGATTAAAGAACACAACGCAGTGAGACAAAACAAGACAACTCAATGCAAAACATCATGCAGACATCGAACCGTAGCAAGCACTCATACATCAGAACTTATCACAAGAACACAAAACAGAGAGAAAACAAGACAGCTTAAATGCAAGCATCAGGCAGACTAATAGGTCCCAAAGACTTACGAGAACAACAACACAAGTTTACTGCAATTTTCTATTCATATCTTTCATTTAACTACAACTCTTGCTTGTCTTAAAAAACAAACTAACTACAAAGTGAGACGTGTGCAAAGAAACACATACTATAATTAAGGAAACATTATCCCACTAAATGAAATGCAACATAGGAATGGCATAAAAGTATTGAAACAAGTGATTTGGTTTACGTAAAGCTGGGACACGTCATCTTCTTCCTCTAATGGTATCTCATCATAGACATAGTGATACAATTAACGTATCAATTCTGGAAGAACAGAGAGATGCACAACTTTCTATTGATGATAATGGAGTCTCTCACACCTCAAGTGAACATGAGTAATCTAATCCTCCTTCCTTATATAGTGTTACTTGACCCTCTCCTTTCTTATGATCCTATTCTCACACGACAAGCCATATGCTAGAATAGACCTACTCATTTTACTTAACGTCTGTGCTGCTTTTATTCACTATTATCTTAAGACACTTCTAGTCACGTCTCACAAACCAGAGAGAGAGAGAGTGGTAGAAACCAAGCTTCTCACAGAGAACCGTAACAAGTACTCAAATAAGCATACATGGAAAGTCGTGTCAGTCTCAGAACTTATCACAAGAACACAACGCAGAGAGAGTAAACAAGATACAGCTCAATGCCAAACATCATTTCAAAAAATCGAACCGTAACAAATACTCAAACATCATAAATTCATAATCATGCATGGTTAAGTCGTGTCTGTGAAAAGTGTTTGTATTTCCTTGAAAGGTTCTCATGTACAACGCAGAGAATATATTCACTAGTCAGCAGGGCCGGTACTAGTCAGCAGGGCCTGTCCTGGGCCAAGCCGAATGTTTATTATGAGCCCCAAAATTGTTGAAAATTTTTCTATTAACATATGCCCCCAAATTTGTGAAAAAGGACTCCAAATTTATTATAAATAAAAATTCTTAGCTGAAACCTTTACTAAACTGTCTACTAGAGGATATATACACTAGTTAGCAGGGCCGGTTATGGGCCAAGCGCCGAATGAAAACATTCCCCTATGACCTCCAAAATTGTTGAAAATTTTTCTATTGACATATGCCTCCAAATTTACAAAAACAATTCTTAGCTGAAACCTTTACTAAATTGCAGGGATACACCTTTTATTCTATGATAACTACTCTATAATAACAAAGAAATGGAATATTCTTTAAGTATCTTTTACTCTGCCTTAAAAGTTAAAACTACTAATCACAAACAGCAATAAGAACATAATAATAATAATAACCTGAGTGTATATACAAGGAGATGAATAAGTTTGTGGATCTCTCGAAACCGCGTGAAGCGTTATCGACAAGAAATCTACAGCGTAGCCTTTCGCCACGTCTACATCACTCAGCCAAATCAACTTCCTGAAAAAAAACAATATTAATGAAATAAAACACTAATAATCTGAGTAATGTTTTCACCTGGAAGTGATGTAGAGAGTTCCTGGAGACTCCACGGAGCGGTTTCCGAGAGCCACGGCGACGGAAGGCTGCACGTGCATAAGCTCCTCGCCGTTGGATGAGTCTAGGGATGGTGAGCCGTCTCCGGCTCTGAGCGAGAACTCTCGTAGACCAAACGCCATGGCAGGGTTTTTCTTAGGGTTTCTATTCTCAGAGAATCAAATCAGCGTTCTGTTGTTGGGTGATGAAGAACATTATTGGGCTTTTTGATAAAATGGGCTTAGTTATAAAAGCCCATTATTTGTAAAGTGCATGAATTGAGCTCGGTTATTAGTGGCTTCTTGATACTATGGGTATAATATGTGGTCCGGTCCATTCATTACAACATTTTTTTAGTTAATAAAATTGTTTCTTTTTTGGGAAATTGCATCCAATAACATTAAAAAAAACCAAAATTGAGTAAGTAACCAAAAAGACACTCTCTCTCCCCTTATGTGTTCCTATCTCTCTCTACCATCTCTCTAGAAAACTAATTTTGCTTTTTTTTTAGGTTATTTAACAAATAAGCCCTATTGGTTTAAAATAAAATTTTACTTTTTTTTTGTAAAATGTTAAATTATTATACTATTTTTCAAGTTTGTGACAAAAATTAGAAAGAGAACAAGTAGCAGAATGCGGAATTGAAACTAAACATCACATACTAAACGACATGAAAACAAATCTGGACAAAGACAAAGAGGCTGGAAAGCTACGAGTCAAGCTTAGACCTTACAAACCGAGAATAGTCGAGAACGAGGCAAGCGCCCTCAAATTTTACTTTATGTATATTGCATATGCATTTTTTCACTTAAGTTGGTTTTAAGCCTACAAGCATATAAACTTTTTTGGCCAATGAACTCTTATTTAATTTAAAAATCATTAGATTTAGAAAAAAAATTGAAATCCAAAAAAAAAATCCTAAATCTATTAAATACTAGACCCAATAACCCCCCACTTAGCTTTTGAGAAAAAAAATCCAAAAAATGTAAATGAAGATTTGAATTTGTGACCTTAAACATGTATATAAAGAAGATTACCAATAGGGTTGTAAGCGTTTTTATACTAGCTATTGACCACTTAAATATTAAAACAATTTTGACCCCAAACACATGCTTAATTAGCTTCTAGGTAGGTCATTGGTTTTGAACTTTTGATGTCTGGTTAATTGATATTGTTTTGATTAAATTTTGCTAAACTACTAAATCTCTTTTGAAGTATTGTTTTATGTTTTTTTCTAAAATATTAGGAACTTTTGTACAAAAAAAATCTGTAATACATCGTCATTTAAATTATTATAGAACGGAAGTAATATGTGTGCGTGTGTGTGTGCGCGCGTGTGTGTGTGTGAAATGTCTTTTCTTGTAGAGTGATCGATAAAGGATAAGGGAAATGGTCGTTCGTGATCAATTGTTGTCTTGCAGATTGTGACAATGCAAGCATTTATGAATGATTCATTGTCAATATAGAGTGATCCACAAACTCAAAACTATACATTTTCAATAACATTCTTAACGCAATGTCTAATTCAAAGAAAAAAAATATATTGAGTGTCTCCCGGTTTGTAGTAGAAAGCTTATTAATATCCATGTGTTTATAAAATGTAGATTGATGAGACTTTAAATAAATGTATTATTATTTAAGCTTTGAGCATATATTCAAGTCAACTGAACTAGTAAGCCATAAACATCTACATTTATTTGAAGACATTTATAAGAAATATATAGCTTGCATAGCTGTAGAAGTAGACCTTAACTAATTAATATTATAATTTCATTATTAGTCTCAGATGCCATCTTCCGATCGTGCAAGTGCATTTTTTGTAGTTTATTTACTCAACATCCAAAAACTGAAGAATCAAAATGTGCATGCTCACAAAGAGACAAAAGTAAAATCCACAATGAAAAACAAGAAATTAAAAGATAACACATCCTTAGCAACAAGAAAAGGGCTACCACATCTCTTCATATTCACACTTACAAAAAGGAAAAAAAAAAGTCTTCAAAGAAAAGAAGACTTCACACAAACACAACACTCCCATACCAATCAAAACTCTTTTTAATTACTTATACAAAACAACTAATCTTCTTACTACCCTCACTCGTCTGAACCATCACAGAGGTGATTTTTGCTATTAAATACCCTTAATAATATATAAGATTTAAATTAAGCTTCAATAATGGCTTCTCCTCGTGGAATCCTAACCCTAAACACATGCTCCTCTCCTGTGCACTTATCAACTTTCACAACCCAATGACTCTTTCTCACATGGTCATGATGCTGATGATGATCATCATTGTTCTTTTTCATCATCTTCTGGCTATAGCTACCATCATCGTTGACCCTTGTCACCAGCAACCCTTCACCTATAGGTAAAAACTGTGTTTTCCTCCCATCACTAAACCTCCAAGATCCTCTCGAAAACGCGTTATAACCCACCACAACCGCCGCACCGCTTCCACCGCCGGTTCTTGCGTTTTCTTCATGGTGATGAACGATCTTTCTAACGATATCTTGGTGGTTCTCGAGGTTACAATCGACGAGGACGAAATCGGCTTTTCCAAAATGATCATTAATTAGATTGTTGTCGTTAGATTCTCCCACTACGAATTGTATATGATGAATCTCTGATGGTTCCAACATTTTCTTGGATATGATTAGTTCTTCGATGCCACGTAAAACGCATACCACTTGACCGCGCGTTTGATTAGCCGCGGCGATTAGGGCAACGAGTATGTCAGCGTTTGCTGCTCCGGCACAAGCCACGGTGATCTTTCTTGCGTTATTTCCGGCGGCTAGAGCCGATATGAATTCAGCCACGTTTGGTTCTTTTGTTCTTTGATCCTGTAAAATGGATATATAAGTCAAAATGTGACATTGATTTAAGAAAAACCATGAGAATATTCATATCATATACTCCCTCTGTTTCTAAAAGATCCATATGCTAGTTTTTTCACATTTTTTAATAAAACACAATAAATTTGCATAGTTTTTTGTATTTATCTTCTTTTCATAATTTTAAACCAATCAAAAATCAATTAGTGCAATTAAGTTTTTTGAAGTTTACAATTATTTAATAAAATATACATTGAAAATGTACAAAATGGATCTTTTAGAAACAAATTTTTTTTCTAGAATATGTATCTTTAAGGAACGGAGAGAATATCAAGAAAACGATTAAATGCATTACATACGAATACGTAAAAATAAAATAAAAATTCTTACCGTTTTCAATGTAGTAAGGTAGGCTTTAGTAGCATTCTCAGCAGACCAAAAAGCCATTTTCTTTAGTTGATTTGAGAATCTTACAAGAAAGGGAAAAAGTAATTTCTCTCTATCTCCTGCTTAGAAGGTTTTAAGTGGTTGATGATGGGTTTTAGTTTTAGAGATGAAATGTCGTTATTTATATATTGGGAGATTTGTGAATGGGACAAGATTCAAACAGGCTGGTCCAGTTTCATGAATCTTTTCTTTTGATATAAATAAGATGGAGAAGAGAAAATAATTTTGGTCAAGTTGTAATAGTATTCAACATGCGTGTATACAATATGGATACATCGAGATATATATTAAAAAGCAGCTTGTCTCATTGTCGAGAGGCTAATCAGGTACAGTCATATTGTTAATGTTCCTTTTCCTTATGGTCTCTAAACTGAATTAGACTATGTTTCAACGGTTATTTTTAGTGACATTTAATAATTAACACCCATTTTAGCGATGTGTCTCCTAATTCTTAATCATAACGAGAAATAGTTTTATTACCAACATATACGTGAAGCGAAAAGAAACCACATGCAGTTATTTTGCAAATTTTGTTGTTATATATGTTTCAAGAATGCATAGTTTATGGTAATGATTGTTCTAAGTATAAACAATTTACACGGAAAATATTATAACTTAAACAAATACAAACAAGAAAGCTCTTAAAAGCAATCATGGCTTAAGTGTTAGGTCATTAGTCTGGATGTTCGAACATGTATACATGCATCTTTAGGAACATAAACATAAACATTTTTAAGTTTATATTCATAGATAATTTCAACACGAATATTACTCAAATATGATTAGATTTAACTAATTAATTACAAAGAAAAACAGAGTTTGGATTATAAGGATCAATGAGCTGTAATGTCTAGTGCAGCAGGGGAAATGGAGATCTCAATGGGATTAAAATATAAGAAATAAAACATTTTGAACTATAATGCAACAAAGAAGTAAATGAGATTGATACACATAAGGGACATAGAGAACATGGGTCCATGTTTGTTCTGACAACAAGCATACAGTTCTTACAACATTAGAGTCTTGATTTCACAAAACTAATTAGAACGTACGGTTTAGATTAATTGATATGTATATAGATTACATTATTAATTTGTACAATCTAGTGACCGTCCTCTCGTACGGGTTTCCATGAAGCTTCATATACACTTAATCTAATTATGCATTGATCATTGTGCTAACCAAGACAGAAAATTAATGGTCTACATAACGCTGAAACAGATATATTTAATCAACAATATCATATAAATATTAAATGGCTACTATTCGTCTTGTTGTAGAAACCATCCTTTGCGACTTTTGGTGGATATATATTAAGGAATTTATATGTATCTTTGTATTAAAGTTACGATAGCTACTTATGAGATGCAGGTACAAAAATGATCGTAAAGGATGCTCTGAATCCAAATGCACAAAGAGCCATAATGCCCCATACTGATAGATATGATTCAGAAAGAAAAAAATGCTAGAATAGTTTTGGGTTTATTGAGACATGTTCTTGCAATTGGTGAAGATATTTAATTCGTCTTTCGTTATCATTTTTTTTCGGTTCGTCTATACTTGTATAATGTTTTCTCTTCCGCTTGAACTAGTTTCATGCATCTGCCATTATAATTGTTTTATATACCTTATCAAGATAAGGGTATTGAGAGATGATTTTGCCAGGCCGGGTCCAAAAAGATTTTGATCTGATCTAAGTTTAAATTACAGTAAAAAATGTTGTGGTCCAAGTGCAACTCGAAACAGTTAATTGATATTGATAATTAGAGATTGTAGATCATGAACAAATAAGATAAAAGAAAATCAAAAATTTGCAAAAGAAAAAAGTTTGGATGGCTAAAAAATTAGTTTGTGGTTGGATTATATGTAAAATGACTCAAATGTGTATAGCCATTTTTGGTAACATAATGGAACATTATATATGCAGAAATTATCTGTTGTCGTACACCCTATTTCATATATTTTTACGGTCCCACGTTTAAGTATGTGTAATGTGTACGTATAATTGGATGCATGCACTACAATTATTAGAGAGGATTCTAAAACAGTAGACAGATGGACATGAATCAAGAATGATCAAATTGTCTTAGACTAACGTCGCGGCATATCTCAGAAAAGTCTTGGATAGATTTTCTCCGACCAAAATAAAATCACCGGCCTGGATATAAATATAACATTGGAAATATAACAAAATCCTGAATTTTATAAATAGCAGTAACCAATCAAAAGATAGGGATTAAAAATATGAATAGTACATAAACAATTAATGATTGATAAAATCAAACACAAACTTTTGGAAAAAAAAAAAAGAGAACGTGGGATTGGGATAACGTTGAGGTGAGGAGACAACGATAGAGAACAGCAAATGGCTACAGATTCTGCTTCGACCATTCCAGGAGACATCATCTTTTAATATTACGCATTGCTATTTTATTTTAATTTAAGTGAACGAAAATGTTGGATTCTTGGAACGGTTGATAGACGAGGATTCTACTAAGGTTAAACATATCTAGTGATACTAGTGACTAACCGAGAAAGAGGCTTAAAACAACACACAGGAGGCAAAGAGGATTCAGGGAGAGATAGATCAGTTTTCTTTTTTTTTGTTATTTGTGATTTAGTCCCTGTATTTTGTTGGCTGTCATAAATTGTAAGTATTGTTAATTCCTAAATAGATTAGAAATGTAAATACAATGTCATACGTATTTATTTTCTGTTTATTTATGATTTATTCCCTATTCTGTTGATTTATTCTAAGAAAAGGATTGTTTTGTTAGTTTTACTCCGTTCCTAAATAGATTAGAAATGCAAGCAAATATGTCATACTCATCTACGTGAAAGGTCGTTGTGAAAATTATTCATGGCTGAATTGTCATTGTGGAAAGAAGATGTTGCTACATGCGTATATAGTCGGTACCAGACAAAATCCTGAGGAAACATTTGCATTAATTCCTAAGTTTCCTATTGTTTCTATATCGTCAAAATACATTTTATTAATATTTGTTCTAAAATGTTTCTAACTTTTTAGATTGCCCGGCTTTGCTAATCACTGCACTTGGCTCTTAGGAGATGGCATGGTGAGTTCCACTAGTATTCTCTCAAATCATGTTTACGCCTTTTCATCATCAATATCTTGTGACCTTCTTTTCAAGGCCAGGACAACCCGTCAAATATTGGTTTTTACTCCCAAAATTTTAAGAAGTAAAATATATAGATATAGAATCTCTAAAGTTTTTTTTAAAAAAGTATTTATTATATTTCTATGGTGGCACATTCTTCTTCCATATCTTAAAGTACTTCCTTGATTTGTTGTTGGGAGGTAACTTCTCTTTTCTTTTAATATTATACTTCCTTGCTTTGCATGCTTTTGGTATAGTTCCTTTGGAACCTCCCAGGATCTTGCGGCGACGACGCGGGGTTTCTCGCTTAACGTAAACCTTCTCCATTTCGTTGAGAGGCCGGCTTGATCCATCTGGAAGACTCACAAACTTCCAGCCACCTCCGGCTCCACGTTTTCCTCTAGGACCCAACTTCTCAATCGTTATTTTCCATCCATCTGTTGAACGTCTTCTGCTATACTTGTGGCACTTCACTTCTCCTCTCCACTGGTTTAATTAAGAAAACCAAAAGTGAATATTCTTATTTTACTATATCACCATGGAGAAAATGATCATAAAACATGTGACAACTTTATCAATAGAACTAATTATGTAGTTATGGACTTACTTTCATTTTGTTGAACTCAAACCTTTGCACGAATTCTTCATAAAGTATGTCATCTTCTTTCTTTGAGATATCATAATGGACTTCATCCATATCTTTGATTGTACCCTCCCATCCTTCTGGCATTACCTTGAAGCCGGGCTTGTACTTGAGCGAGGCCACATGAAACTCCCGGTCATGGGAAATAAAGAACCTGCATTGATGTATAAATATCAGCAAACTATCCCCAAGTAATTTTATCTAGATCTTTCAGTAAAAATGTTACTAGAACACCAATAATCTATGATAATAACTCTGATTTTTATAGCATAAGACGGGTGTTATAAATGAAAATACAAAAATAAACTACTTGGTGATATAATGAAATAAGAGCACCTCCAATGAAGGTTCTTACAAAGGAGTGTTTAGCGGAATATAAGAATCACTCTCTTAATTTTTAACTTAAAAAAATTACGAACTTTTTTAGTTTTTATTAGTTAAAACTCAAGTAACACATATCAAAGTATGAATAAAAATGATTTAAAATGTAGATATAAAATGATTTGTATTATAACTCTCAATGAAAGCATTAACATATTTAATTCATCAAAAAAAAGTATGAATAAGAAATATTGTTAGCATGTTAGAGAACTTACTCAGGGTACTCATCAAGCAACCTCTCAACAGAATCATCTAAAGGACGACCTAGCTTCCTCTCCTCTTCTTCTTCATCTTCTTTAAGAAAAAGAATAGCATGAACACGCTGCCTCATAACCCTATAATCCTTAGCAAGCCTCTCAACAGTATACACCTCAGGATTCTCTTTATGCAACCTATACATCTCAGTCTTCTCAGAGTCTTTAAGATAAGCCCCTCTAGCACCAGGCTCCCTTACTTGCTTGAGCAACACGCTAATCTCCATCATCCTATTTTTAATCCCATCAACAAAAGCCCTACTCTCTTTATTATCTTGATCAATCTCTTTAAGCAAATCATCATACTCATTCATCTCGTTGACCATAGCCACTTCTCTTGGACCTAACTTGCTCATTACGTCACCTGAGTCAGAACCGGTGTTGTTGTCTGAAGAAGGGTTTGTGTCTTTCTTACGACCAACGGAAACACCATCAAAGTGTTCTGTAGTGAAACCAGTTGACCACATTGACTTATTGTCCCAACCAAGATTATCACCACCTAACGAGTCTTCTCCTCCCGTTGGGATGTCCCAACCGTTGTCATCTTCACCGAATCCATCGAACCCTGAGCTCCCGGAGAGTGCTCGGCTTCTATAAGATTGAATGGTTTTTGGAGCGTTCTGAGTCAGAAACCTAGACGCTCTCGTGCTAGTGTTGAGGGAAACCGATGAGAGACAAGATATTAACTTAGTAAAGTTATACATGTAAAGATCAGTTTAACCGTACAAACACTGAAACAAAGTAAAAATTTCCGAGGAAGAAGGAGAGTCGGCCACTAGGGTTATGAGTAAAGGGCATATATATCAGTTGTTTTATATTTATGATTTAGCCCCTTTATTCTCTTATTTATTGCAAATATGACCAAAATAGTTGTTTATAGTTTTTTTAACTCCATTTCATTTTGTATACAACATTGAACTTTTGGTAGATTTTGTCTTTTATATTGTCTAAAAGAAAACTATGTAGAGATTTTGTTCTTCGGCAATTGCACTATATCTTGACTTCATAAGATTCACAGAAAATGATTTTTGAGGTTAGTTATGAAACCGTGTCATATGTAAAATAATAAATAATCGATGATTTCAACATAATGAAGCTAAACCGATCACAGAAACAAATATTGCATCTGTTTCATTTTAATTGTCATTTTAGTTTTTTTACACATACATTAAAAAATTATTTAATTTTATTTTTTTCAAGATAAAAATACAATTACCTATACATCTAATCATTTTTTTACCAATAGAAAAATAAAATAGCATATAAAATTAATAAATTTTGCACTGAAATCATAAAAATACATTTATTTTAAAACAAAAAATTTACTCTATAATGACAAGTAAATTGAAACGGATAGAGAACAATCAAAGAATAGCTAAATCATTTTTTGCCATAAAGGCCTCTTACTTTCTACACAAGAAAATCCAAGAACAGTTCATCACCATTAGATAGGCTCCTAGTATCGCAGGAATCATTATCATCACCACCATCGTCATAGTCATCTTCTTTTTTAGTCCCATTGTGCATATTCTGGTCTCCATGATAGGTCGTTGTGAAATTGTTCATAGCTGAATTTTCGTAGGGCATTTGAGCCAGTGGTCTCATTATACCACCACCGTAGGTTTGTTGGTTTGGCTCCTCTACTGTGGCCACCACCGGAGAAGTAGAATTCACGGTGGTTATGGAGAAAGTAGGATGTTGTTGTTGTTGTGGTGGTGGAGAAGCATCCATGAATCGAGGTTTGTTCTTTTGTGTTTGTTCTGCTTGATGCATTACAATGAAACTTCCCATTATTACCTGTCACAAATAATAATTACTTCTTAGGAAATTTGTGAGACTTATCTATACTTTTGAACCTGTAGATATGTTTTGTTTTAAGGTAAATAATCAAGATTGTGTTACCTGGACAGGACTGGCTGCTATGAGCATACCGGCAAGGCCACCGCCGATGATTTTGCCATTTGGTCCTGCTAAAGAAATGCTCATACCACCTGACCGACCTTTAGTTCCTCTGTCTTCAGTAGGCATAAAAGAACCAGAAAGCGAAAGTATCTCAAATCGATCCCTAAGCCAAGAAAAAAAAGAATATATAGTTTCAAGAACTGTAAAAAAACAATCAAGAACCAAGAAAATAGAGAAATTTGATTCCATGTTCATTAGGTTTACCTCATATGTAAGAGTGCCACCTGAGGTGGTAAATTGACGAAGTGTGACATTAGAGATGGAACCAGTTGCAGAAAGAATGCAAATAGCTCGAGATCCTTGGGAATACGGCATAACTTTCATCGTTACATCCTGATTTAAAGAAGCATATATTCTTAAACACAATTATACACAAAATCCATTATCAAATTAAAATTGTGTTTTGGGAATTTATTACCTCACCGGCATTGACTGTAAACTGATGTGTTGTAAAATTTACACCAACATAGCATGAGAGTCCAGGAGAAGGAGGAGCTGCAATAGATAAAACAGAATTTTGATGCCTTTGACTATGACCAATCATGTAATTAAGAAACTCTAATCCTCAAGCAAACTAACTTGATTACACTTGCAAGAACATGGAAGCCCCTTTTTATTCACCAGAGTTCCACATAATTAAAAACAGATTTAACCAAAGCTAATGAGATAATTTAGAGATTTATGCGATAAAAACTTTAACAATTAACACAACTAAACACACTTATCTTCTAAAGATAAAAGACAGATCACTATTCTCTACTTTTTATTTTCTGTTTTGTACGGTCAGCATTATCAGATTCTGTCTCTGTCTCTGACTGGTCTGTTTGTATAAGTACTTCTTCAGACAAAAAGTACACAACAAAATCTAGTTATGTTGGTCCCACTTCCCAAGATCTCAAAACTCCATATAAAAATCACATAAACATATGATAACCAGATCACATCAAAAATCTATCTAGCTGAAACCTATGCCACAGATTAAAACACAGATTGCAAAATTTACCTTGGCTGCTTTCATGAGATTTCTTGATGAAATCAACATGTTGCTGCTGCTGAGCTTCTCCTCGTTTCCAGTTAGAATGATGATTGTAATCTCCAGAGAATGGAATAGAAGATGAGATTGGAGTGGGAGAGAGTGTTGGTCTCAAAGCCCTAGGGTTCAGACTTCCATCTGGAGCGTATTTTCTTGGCCTTCCTCTCTTCTTCTTCGTCAGATCTGACCCTGCGCTTGTGATTGATGGTGGAGCTGCGGCGGTTGACCCAGGAATCACGGTGGTTGGAGGTGGAGGTGGGGAAGGAGACACAACAGTCGTAGGTCCCACGGACTGAAGAAAACTAGGGTTTTGTTGAAACTCTGTTCTTGAGGCCAAAGCTTCATCTCCCTTGACTGTGATGACACCACTTGAACTGATTCCACTTTTCTCCTCCATTTTTACAGCCACAAATCCCCCAAAAATTAGCAATAGGTTCTGCCTTGAAACAGCAGAAAACTAACACTGTAGCAGAAAAGTATGCAAAAGTGAGTGGAGATTAACCTCTTAATCTCACCGAAATTTGTAAAAATCCCCCAAAATTTACATGCAAATATCCCCCAATTTTATCATTCGAGAAAGAAGATCATTTTTCTATTGGAGGACTGAATTTTGTGGTTTTTGCAAAGAAAAATGGAACCTAAAAAATAAAATTGGAAAATTTAGAAAATATATAAATTATGTTGACATGCAGTTGGTTTTAATTAATTTAAAACCGATAATATAATTAAGGGAATATCCACGTCCGTCTTGGAAACTCAATATATCTAATTAAATATAGAAAACTATAGAAAAAAATAAAGTGAAAATTCAAGAAAAAGAAGGAGGTAGAGAAAAAGAATACCAACTCTGAGTCTCTCTGACAATCTCTTTGTCCTTTTTCAAATTAATCACTTTGACCAAATTAATTTTTCAAGATAATCTATATCTCTAGATTCACTCATGCAATTGTATCAAGATTAATTACGCACGAACCAAAGTTTATAGATGAAGTTGATACATTAGTTTTGTATTAAAGAACTTTTCTTGAATTTGAAGCAATCAGAAATGACAAACCTCAAGTTCTTGAAGATGAGATGCACACACATTGATTCGATTTGAGTTTTGGACATTATTATTATCTCCAAACTCTGCCAAAAGAAAGTATTGTTACAAACAAACCCAAATACATACAGAGTTCTTCCTCAAAAACAAAAAAAAAGTCGTGAAAGAAAAAGAAAGAGTGCTCTTAATTTTCGTATAATTGTTTTCTTTCCCTCTTTTGATTTCTAAATTTTCACCCATACAATACAAGTAGAGAACACCATCTGAATCATAGTGCAATTATCTAAGTTGGATGGGCCTAAAGCCCAGTTATATGAGATCTCTGCCCTAAAGTTTAGATGTATCTAAAGGTTTGTTGATACACAACTCAAGTTTCTTTTTCTTGAAACAGAAGAAACAAAGAAGACCTCGGTGAAGCAATTAGCATTAGATATGGGGCAACATGAGCCTGGATTCAAGCTGGAAATTCAATTCACGGGAAGTTGCAGAGAGCCTAATCATTGATTAATCTTCACCTCGGAGATGTTTATTATCATGTTTAAACACACGTAATCCTATGTCTATATATATAGAAACGTGTATACTTGTTTAGATACATGAATAGAGAAAGTGATTTCATTGATTTTGTTGTTGTGGGGTTATATGTATCCTTATTTATTCATAAGGGTTTATGGATGTTTTAGCTCCAGTAAAGTTAGGACCACACTGTAAATGTAAGATTTTTATTGAGAGATTAATAAGTTGGGTAGTTAAGTTTTGTTATTTCATATTTCATGGAGTAGTCAAGAAAGTTCTTCTATGTATGGAGTTCCATTAATGATTGTTTGTATATTTTTGAATATAAACATATAAATATGTAACTACCTAGGAAGGTGGTAAGTGAAAATGGACCAAGAGGCTCACATTTTCGCACGTAGAGCGATTAAATTGTACTACGATAGAAACTGTGGTAGGTAGGTAGAAGTAGAATTTGATTGTGGGGGTAGGTTTGATGATAGCGTAAGACTCGTGACACTTTGATGATTGTAACAAGAAATTAAAAAGGTGGATCCATTTTTACCGGTTAATTATGTATTCGTCTCTGCTATCTATTTGCTAAATTGGAGACGACATTTTAACGATCAGTTTCACTTAGGAGAGATACCAAAAGTATAGAACAAAAAAACAAGAATATTAGTTTGTAGAGTCCACAATCATTAATAAGATAGTAAGTGCAAAATTTATATATCTAACGAAAAGTGGCTGCAATGAACGTGAGAGAAGCTCAACCAAAAACATGATGGAGAGTTGGTGTAATAGAAATATTTAGTTAAATTAAATTATATATAAATCCCCCTACATATACTTTATTATATTTTGGAAATTTAAAAATGAATAATATCTTGTTTTTTTGGTTCGAAACAATATGTATTAAATTAAATTAAAAGATCTATCAGAGTTCTGTTATATTCTCAAGATATTTATACCAACACTTGAACTATTCGTGATGCTGAACAAGTCCACCAACACAACTACCACTTTTTCCGAGGAAAGATATTTTTTTCTTGCTATAGGCTTGTTTGTTAGTGTGGTTATATTGTGTGCCAAGTGTACATAAGAAGGTCACACGAGTCCCTTTATATAACACAACTTCTCAAGCCCTGTTTTAACTCTCATCTCTCTGAAGCAAGACCATGGAGCTCTTCTCTCTCTCATCCATCATCATTCTCCTTGTGTTCTCCTTCACTAGTCCCATTCTCTCCATCTCTGATCAACCATTACTAATCTCTTCTGTTATTCATGATGAAGAAGAAAGCTGCCCTTACACTGTGATTGTCACCACGAGCTGTTTCTCCCCTGATTTGTCAAGGGATGAGATCACTCTCGCTTTGGGTGACGCTGAGGGTAACAAGGTTTTGATAACAACTAAACTTAGCTTAATTTTATTTAGTGTGGGACTAATCTAGTTGTGTGTGTATTAATTTCAAAACCTAGATATATATGTCATCTTGTTTTTTTATGCACGGATGCATGTAATAATAATATAATAACACCTTCTAGAAATTTAGAAATATAATGGATAGAATCTCTACTGGAGGTGCTCTAGATTCGTTAAATCGGAATAATTCATAGCCATAATTTTGTTAAAATATAGAAAGGCCTTTATTTTTTTATCATTCTCCTCAACACAAATACTTATTTTCTTTTGAAAATTCTAGGTATATTTGATTTCAAAACCAAAATTTTAATACAGTGATATAATATTGTATACTAGTTTAAGTTTTACATCGGTTTAAAAAACAATTAAATAAATCTAACCAAAAAATCCAAAGGAAACGTTATTGCACACTTGTAAGTTCAAGCTACACAAGGCTACATGTGTGACTTTTACATATACTTTCACACATGTGCATGTTTCTAATATGATTTATAATAAAGGTGCCAAATCCATTAAAATGCTTGAAATTTGTTTTTTTTTTTTTTGCTTATGAATTTGTATTATTTATTGACATCTTTTACGTATATAAGGTGGTCGCACCGAGACTAGACGAACCGTTGAGTAGTGAAGGAGGTTTCAAGAAATGTTCATCAGACACATTCCAAGTCAAAGGTCAGTGTCTAGACACTATCTGCTCTGTCTACATCTACCGTTCCGGTCCAGACGGTTGGATCCCAGAGACCGTTGAGATCTACGAGGAAGGTTCCAAATCCGTGAAATTCGCTTTCAACAAAAACGTCCCTGAGAACACTTGGTACGGTCACGATAATTGCAACAACACCGGTTTGCCACCACCTTCACCCACCGTACCACCGCCCCATCCACCTTATTTTCCTCCCGACAAACCTTCTGTCCCACCACCGGCGCCACCCCATGCACCACCCCATGCACCACCGTCTGCTGCCTCTGGACGTGGAGNTTCGCTTTCAACAAAAACGTCCCTGAGAACACTTGGTACGGTCACGATAATTGCAACAACACCGGTTTGCCACCACCTTCACCCACCGTACCACCGCCCCATCCACCTTATTTTCCTCCCGACAAACCTTCTGTCCCACCACCGGCGCCACCCCATGCACCACCCCATGCACCACCGTCTGCTGCCTCTGGACGTGGAGCTGGTGAAAGTTTGGTTGTTGCGATTCTGATTGCGTTAGCGGCTGTGGTGGTTTGAGTTTCTAGTTATAAGATAGTTGTTTTAATTAATGACTATAATAATTATGGTGTAATGACTTTGTTTTTGTTTCTAGTAGTTGGAGATTCTGGAGACTTTGATTAGTTTAATGTATGAGTTCTGAAGTACTAGTAGTAATCAATATCAATGAAACATGCACTAGTGTTTTGCATGTGATTTATGTTATCTTATATATTCTGCAAATTTTGTTTTAAAAAATATATATATTCTGCTAATCATAACACAAATAAATAACTATCTAACAAAAAAAGTGAATGGTAGTTTATTAACTTCTGATTTGGTATGCATAGATTAATATTATTGATTGAGAATCTTAATGGTTGCACCTGATGTAAGAGTGTTTTGTTGCAATGGTTGCATCAGTCCAAAGCCTAAACTGTAATTTATGCTCACCTAAATACTATCATACCAACCGCAATTGAAAGAGACGATTAAACTGAAGACTCTTAAGCTCAAGAACACAACATAGACGAACATAAGAAAGGAAAAGATAATGACACACCAGTTAAATGAAGTCTTAAACCAAATCCAGTTAAATAATTGTCGGTTTAACGTTTTAAACCAGTGCTTCGATTTCAACAAGCCCAATACACGAAAACACATTCGTAATTTTTGTTCTTTGTTTCAAATCAAACGTACACATCATAATCAATTCATAACCCGAAAAGGGAAAACCACGTCGCACGTAGTAGATGCGTGATCTTCTAAAGAAAAGCAGTGCGAGAGACATAAATACATATAGATATTTGTCTAATCTCTAATCACAAAAAGAAAAAAAATATATTTATACAATTTTCTCATCTACCTAACACCTAGCATAAATGCTTATATACACAATTTTCTCAGCGACTGAGCGTTACCAATTACATTTCAAACCGAGATTAACTTAGTTTGAATTTTACCCGGTCTAATCCGGTTCACAAAAAATAAACAAGTTTACCAATTATTTTCTCACTCTACCTAACAACACCACATGAGACGTGGCACGTGATAACATCACTGAGAGCGTTACCAATTAAATTCGGTTCGTATACTCGTGATAATAATAAAATTAAAAATAAACATTCTGTTGTTTGCCTTCTGCAAATTTTATATGAACTTAGTTGAGTTTAGTAATCAAAATTTTCAATAGAAATAATCATGATATAAAAGTTAACAACACCAAATAAAAAACAAATATATAATAACATTTAGAATATTTGTACTCCATACCTACAACATTTACCGTATTTGCACTTCACACCTCATTTCTTCTCAATTTTTTTTCCTCCATCATCACTATTTCCCCACAATATTTAGATATTTTCCTAATTACTACATTATTCTTGTATTTTCAGCCAATTCACCCTAACATTTAAAACTATAGATCTATAATCATGAATTGTAAAACTTAAAGAAAAATGATAAAATTAAAAAAAAAATATATTTGTTGCATTGTTATTTCATAAAAATTATAGTAATGGATTATAAACAAATCTGATTTTCATATATCTACCACCATTCTAATATCTTCTCAAAATCATGGTTTAACCTGGTTCGACCGATTCTCTGCTCGATTTTAAATTTTGTCATGTAAATTTTGAATAAAACTAAAGAAAAATGATAAAATAAAAATATCAAAAAATTATTTGCTGCATTGTTATTTCATAAATTTATAGTTAATGGATTATTACAAACAAATCCGATTTTCATATATCTACCACCATTCTAACATCTCCTCAATTTCATGGTTTAACCCGGTTCGACCTGCTCGATTTCAAATTCTGTCATGTAAATTTTGAATTTGTTGATTACTTTGAACAAATCAGGAAACTTTCCATTTTAAAGTAAACAAATAAAACAAAAAACCCGACACGCATTCTCCTTCCGGACAAAACAACGACACGTAGTTCCAACACTTGAGTTTTTTAGCTTAATTAGGGTTTTGACCAAGCCTCAAAACTATATAACACCTACCCAAACCCTACTCTCTGTCTCCCTCTGTTCTCTTCTCCCATCTTCAACACGCCTCTCTCTCAAAAAAAACCCACGAGAGATGCCTTCATTAGCTTTATCCGATGAGAAGAAGATGAAGAAGAAGAGCAAGACATCTCTCGAAGCCACCACCACCACACCGGAGCAAGTCTCCAAGAAGAAAGAGAAGAAGCTGAAACTCTCTGACTCCGATGGAGAAGAGTCAGAGAAGAAGAAGGCCAAGAGCAAGAAGAGGCGTAAGGCTTCTTCTAGTGACTCAGACTCTGAGGTGGTGGAGAGTGATGAGAAGAAGAAGAGTAGCAAGAAGGTGAAGCTTGAGGTTGAAGTGGAGAACCCTAATGCTGTTTCGAAGTTTAGAGTCTCGGAGCCGTTGAGGGAGAAGCTTAGGGAGAAGGGTATTGAAGCTCTGTTCCCGATTCAGGCGACCACTTTTGATATGGTTCTTGATGGTGCTGATCTTGTCGGAAGGGCTCGTACTGGTCAGGTAATGATTGATTTAATGTTTGTTACTTTTGAGATGAAAGTTTGAGACTTTATATAATTATTTTAGTGTAAATGTTATGTTTGTTTGGTGTGAAATTTTTAAAGTTTGAGGCTTTAGAGTGTCTTAGTTGATCAGTTATTGGTTTTGAGCTGAAAGTTTGAGACTTTATATCATTAATCTTATATTTGTTTGGAGTCAAATTTTCAAAGTGTGAGGCTTTAGAGTGCCTAAGTTAATCCGTTGTTACTTTTGAGCTGAAAGTTTAAGATTTTATATCATTATTTTAGTGTAATGTTATGTTTGTTGGTGTGGAAGTTTTAAAGTTTGAGGCTTTAGAGTGCCTAAGTTAATCAGTGATTACATTTAAGATGAAAGTTTGAGACTTTATATCATTATTTTTAGTGTAATGTTATGTTTGTTTGGTGTGGAATTTTGAAAGTTTAAGGCTTTAGAGTGCCTAAGTTAATCAGTGATTAGTTTTGAGATAAAATTTTGAGACATTATATTATTATACATGTAAATCTTATGTTTGTTTGGTGTGAAATTTTTTTAGAGTTTGAAGCTTAAGAGTGCCTATGTTAATCTCAGTGATTACTTTTGAGACGAAAGTTTGATACTTTATATTATTATTTAAGTTTATACTTATCTTTGTTTGGTGTGAAATCGTCAAAGTTTGAGGTTTTAGAGTGCCTAAGTTAATCAGTGATTGGTTTTGAGCTGAAAGATTGAGACTTTATATCATTATTTTAGTGTAAATCTTATGTTTGTTTGCTCTGAGTCTTCAAAGACTTTAGAGTGCCTAAGTTAATCAGTTATTACTTTTGAGCTGAATATTAGTGTAATCATCTTATGTTTGTTTTGGTGTGAAATTTTCAAAGTTTAAGGCTTTACTGATCGTATGTGGTGTGGTGCACAGGGTAAAACATTGGCCTTTGTGTTGCCTATATTGGAGTCTTTGATCAATGGACCTGCGAAGAACAAAAGGAAGAATGGATACGGCAGGCCACCGAGCGTTTTGGTACTTTTACCAACCAGAGAATTGGCCAAGCAGGTAAGGAATCCTTATTACAAAGTTTTGGAGCAAGTGCTTCTTTTTGTTTTATCATTGTTCAAGAATTGCTAGGCATTAATTAGTGGTAATTAGTTTTATTTTTTTTGTAGAAGACTAGCTATACCTGACTAGCTTACTAGCAAGAACAGGGACATAGTCTAAAGAATTATTGATTTATTTTTTATATTTAACTTCTATATTAGATATTTTAGTTTTTGGGATTAATTATAAAATTATCTATTTAAAAAATTGAAATTAGTTAAGTTTGTGAATTTACATTAACATTCCTCTTTAAGTTAAGATAAGTTTAAGAGATTTAAACCAATCTAGAACGGTTCAAATTAATAAAATCATTTCCGGTAGTAGTCTAGACTCTGATTTTTAGAACATTGAGTTTTATTGATGGTATGGTGTTTCTTTTTGTAGGTGTTTGCTGACTTTGATGCATACGGAGGATCTCTTGGTTTAACTTCTTGCTGTGTCTATGGAGGTGATCCTTACCCACCTCAGCAGAATAAACTAAAGAGAGGTGTTGACATTGTTGTTGGTACCCCTGGTCGTATCAAGGTATGTCTAATTACTCTTTTCTTAAATCAAATAATCGTTTTTGTTTTCTTTTGTTTGTGTGCTCTCTTAACCTTGTGTTAATTATTCATTGTAGGATCATATTGAAAGGGGAAACCTTGACCTGACATATCTACAATTCCGTGTTCTTGATGAAGCTGATGAAATGCTGAGAATGGGTTTCGTTGATGATGTTGAACTTATCTTAGGTAAAGTGGAGGATCCTAAGAAAGTACAGACGCTTCTCTTCAGTGCTACCTTGCCATCATGGGTTCAAAACGTGAGTCCCTTTCAAATATTTTTCGTTTCTTACTGATCATTTTTATCAATATATGCCTGATTATCTTTTCTTGCTACTACCAGATTGCGTCTAGGTTTCTGAAACAAGACAAGAAGACTATTGATCTTGTTGGTAATGATAAGATGAAAGCCAGTAATAGTGTTAGACACATTGCTCTTCCCTGCAGTAAGCAAGCCATGTCTCGCTTGATTCCTGACATCATCAGCTTATACAGCAGGTACCGTTTAGTACTTTAACAATCATTTAAAATTAAATTGTTAAGTCTCTTATACAATTTTTATTCTTTCAGTGGAGGTAGTACAATCATTTTCACTGAGACTAAAGACCAAGCTTCTGAGCTATCTGGTTTGTTACCTGGTGCAAGAGCTTTACATGGTGACATTCAACAAGCACAGCGTGAGGTAAATGTTATTATACTACTCTCATCCTCCACTGAATCTGGTTCAGGCAAAAGCTAATAATGATGATTCTTGTAAATTGTAGGTTACTCTTGCTGGATTTAGAAAGGGAAAGTTCTCTACACTTGTTGCTACAAACGTTGCTGCTCGTGGTCTAGATATCAATGATGTTCAGTTGATTATCCAGTGTGAGCCTCCACGTGATGTTGAAGACTACATCCATCGTTCAGGCCGAACAGGAAGAGCTGGCAACACTGGAGTTGCGGTTATGTTGTATGATTCTAGAAAGTGTGGTGTGTCAAAGATTGAAAAACAAGCTGGGATCAAGTTTGAGCATGTCTCTGCTCCACAGCCTAATGATATCGCCAAAGCTGTTGGTATGGAAGCTGCTGAGAAGATCACACAAGTGTGTGACACTGTGGTTCCTGCGTTTATGGCTGCTGCTAAGGAGTTGTTAGAGAGTTCTGGTGTGTCTGCAGAAGTGCTCCTTGCAAAAGCTCTTGCAAAAACAGCGGTTAGTTTTGTTTTAAATCTCTTTTGTTTTGTCTCAAAAGGAAAGTACTAAAAGAGTTTGTTTTATTTGCAGGGCTTCACTGAGATTAAGAAAA